TAAGCAGAGCCTGATCTAGATGTATCGCTCACCCTCACAGAGCCTGCAAGACTCCTTGCCTTGCCACCAGAAGTAGACCGTGCTTGTACAGGCTTGCAGGCACAAGGCCAGAAACAGAGCTGGCCAGTCTCCTTCACAGTGCTCTCCTTTCAATTACAACAAAATCACTGCTGCTCTTCATGAGCCTCTGAAGCACAGAAAGCCGAAATCTACAGCATCCACTCCAATGCTACTGTGCTGTCCTCCAGCACCGCATGTGTACCTGAGAGTACAAGTACCCCCCTTAATAGAAGAGAAGAAAACAAACAAAAACCAGTGCTGGCTAGCCCTTCTGTTCTGTCATTTAATCTGCACTCAAGCTGAAAAGTGCAAACAGTCAGTGAGTTAACTAGACTCTCACCTAAGAGAACAGGAAAATGCAAATACGGCAAGACTACAGACAGCTCAGAAGTATTTCTGCACTATCCCTTCTTCCCAGGAACACACACCAGGATAACTAGACCTCCAGTGAGGCAATCCACCACCAAGGGAAAAAGGCAAGACCCTAGTACTTCAGGGAGAACAGAACCCCTGTGATCACACACATACTCAGAGAGCAAAGTTAAATTTGCACAGTGCCAGCCTCTTCCTGAAGCATATTCTGAGAAGGCAGAAAGGACACTTGACATTTGTGGCTGCTACCTTTTCCATTCCGTCCAGCGTAACAAAGTAACATGCAGGAAATCAGAAGGAAATGCTCCAGTTAGAAACCTCAAAAAAGATCAAGATATTTCCAAATTCTCATGGAATGCCAAACTAGAAAATACAGATACACTACAGGTAAAGACTGTGCTCACAAAGGATTCAGCACAAAAACTATTTACAAAACGAAGTAAAATTATAGGCTCATGTAAGAGAACTGTCCTTATTAACTCTTTCTTCCAAAAAAAAAAAAATCTCATCAAAATTAAGACACAGTAAATAAGGGCAAAGAGAAAAGCTACTGAAAATACTTCTGGTAAAACTAAACCACAACCTCTAACCTGGCTGGGGGAAAAAAGTGTGTGCCTGTGTATGTGTGTGGGCATATTCACACATCTATCAAAGCTACACAGCACCCAGAACTAGTGATTAATTATGAAAAGCCTTAATGTTCTATAATTACATCATCCCAAGTTATGAAACAATAAAGATTTAAAATATGTGACCTATGAGATTTGGAAATTAGTCTGTAGTGCATGCCTTTAATCCCAGCACCCAGGAGGCAAAGGCAGATGGATCTATGTAAGTTCAAGCCCCGTCTGGCCTACATAGTGAGTTCCTGGACAGCACTACATAGTGAGACCCAGCCAGAGCTACATGAGACCTTGCCTCAAAAAAAATAAACAAATAAAAGATTGAAAAATTCTAATAATCTAGTTTTAAACAATTCTTCTGAAAGACTTCTAAATGCTGATGGTTCCATTTAGTAAACATACACACTACATTCAAGTTTTGGTTGGAGGTAAAGGATGTATAGTAATAGCAATTAGCTAGATGACCTTGCCCTGAAAATTCCAACTGCTAATAGTCCACTAAGTTCAGAAGTAGAAAAACAAGGTGAAAGAAGGCACAGGTCAACCCCCCAGGGCGGGGAGAGGAGAGGCGCTACACCATCTTTCTGGCTAGAGAGGACCTTGAGTCTGTAACAGGCTTTCCACATCCCACTTTCTCAGTTCTCTTCCAGACCGACACCTAGTAAGATAAGAATCATTCCTCAGGCTACTACTGTCCATTACAAGATGGGAATCTTCTCCAATATCCGACCTCTTCAAGGTATGCTGGCAAATCATAGAACCCAAGGTGCCTACACCATGTTCTTAATACAGAGAGCACTTACAGGTAGGAACATACAATAGGAATAAATATAATGTGGAGATGGATAAACCAGGGGAATGAAGGCCCTGAAATTAGCTCTGATGTGGGTCTCCTTGCCCAAAGCAACACAAACGCCTGGCAATAAAAAACATTGGTAAGTTATAAACAACAAAAAAAGAGCTTTCTTGATTCACACTACACAAGTATTGGTGAATTAAAACTTACACAACAAAGAATATGCATATGAAAGTGATTTTATATTAAATTTTGATACAAGCTACTAAGAAGTAAAACACTATCATTTTACTGCCTTATCTTCAAAACACTAAAATGGAATTTGTTCAATCAAGCCGCCAATCTGTTTTCAGCAAAGAGAACACAGTGCCTCTGTTTAACACGAAGGACAAGAGCTCATCACTGCAAACCATGCTGTTTGGGTCTACCATGAAAACAGGAAACAGGCAGCCCAGGTATAATTACAGCTGTAGCCTAATGTGCCTTCAGGTTCAGCCAGGAATGAAAGCCCACGAGAGTAAGTAGAACTGACTTGCCTCTCTCCTTGCTACAGAAGGCAACTTTTAATAACACTCTCACAACATGTTACATAACCAGCACACAACAATCTGATTCAAACCTCATTAGCAACATTCTGCCACTGTCTCACACTGCAATTCATGGCTGACTCTGCCAGAGGGAAAAGAAAGGCAACACATCCATCTACCCATTTCTGTGGTGCCCACCAGAGTGAAGCAGGTAAGCACAGCGCTGCACAAACCACAGACACATTTTACTCCCTCTCCCAGTTCACTGACTTCTTCCTTCCTTCAACTATCTATCCCATATCCCATGGATGCATGGAAAACTTTATCTGTGAGGTCGGTGCAGAGCGGTCTGCAGGCTCCCACCAGCTAAAAGAGCAAGCCAAACAATCCAAACAAACAACCAAGTGTGAGGGTGCGGGCTTGTGATCCTAGCCTTTGGGAGGTAGAGGTAAGAGTTCAGGGTCATTCTGGACTACACAGCAAGTTTGAGGCCAACCTGGGCTAGCTGTCTGCAGAATGGAGGAGGAAAGTCAATTGAGAAAATTCGTCTATGACCTAAAGTGACCAAACAATGGATGGCATTTGCAGCAAAGACACAGTAAAGGCTTCCGTGGTAACAGTCGTGATCTGAAAAGACTGAGAGGGGGAGCAGTAGAGGAAGGAGAGCTGCCCCAGAGATCACTGTGTAAGCAATCAAACAAAATGAAAGGTTTTTCACACAAGGCCTCACTAGGTAGCGCTGGCTGGCCTGGAACTCAGGCAGATCTACCAGCCTCTGCCTCCCAAGTATTGGAATAAATTTAAGGTTTGAGCCAGCATGCCTGGCCAAAAAAAAAAAAAAAAAAAAAAAAAAAAAAAAAAAAAATCTGAGCATAATATATAAACGTTATAAAGGTTATATTTTGATAAACTGTTGCTTCTCAGTTGTGTTGGATATTTTTATAACTTCAGGGTTTCTTTTTAGAGGGGGAAAAATGTTACCAAATGGGTAAAAGGAAGAATAGAATTTGTTACTACTGACCCACTGACTTTCTCTACAAAATCTGAAACAATCTCAGGACAGAGCCTTTGAGTGTGAAACTGTCCTGTCTTGCGGCATGTGGGCACTGTTTGCATACAACAGGCACTATAGGCTGGCATTTGGCAGAAACATTCAACTAAGCCTACTGGGTTTTCAGCTTCAAGTTAAAATGAAAAGCTACCTCGCTAGTGGTAACTCCCATACACTAAGGACATCCAAGTACTCTTTGTTTAAAAAAAGAAAGACTGCCAGACCAGACCGGTGATGGCTCACCACTGCAATCCCAGCACTTGGAAGGCTGAGGCAGGAGGACTGGCTGGAGTTCAAGGTCTGCACTGAAAGACCCTGTCAGAGAGAAAAAGAACATCACGTGTACCCTTTTCTCTTAGCTGCTGTAAAGCCAACCAACAAAGTCCACTGATTCCCTTCTCTGTTGCTAGGTAGGAACACACTTGATAGCGCTAGGCAACAGGGGTGATGTGACAAACGCCACTAGACTTCAAAACTTTTTCCAAAGAAAGATAAACAAGATATACTTAGCACCACACCCATTTAGATGCAAACGCGGCCAGGAGTACGCCCCCCACCTCCAGCTGCCCAGGAAACATTGTCTTTACAATCAAGATAAAGATCGGGCCTAGAGTGTTCGGCCAGTCCTGGCTCCCAGGTTGGCCCGGGCTCCATTCGCCGGTGCCATCCAAACCGAAGCGGGACAGGCGCTTCGGATAGCTGGCACACCTCCAAATACCTCGACTATTCTCGCCAGCTCTTTCTGCAACCAAAATGTCCAGGCTACTGAGCATGCTCCGACCTCAGACGGGCGCCACGGGGGAGTTTTCAAAGCTAGGCTCGCACCTCGGCGCCGCACCAGCCTCGGAAAAGCGAAAAGGAACCGGGCCAGGGGGTGGGGGGTTGAGAAGGCACTGGGGCACGCACGCCCGAGGGAACCACCGGGACCGGCCGAAAGACAAAAGCTGCGTCAGTTCCTCACGTAAAGTTTGGCGAGGCGCGAGGACCTCGGCGACGTCCCCAGAGCGCAGGGCGAGCGGGCGGAGGGCGGCCCCGGACGGGCGGGCGACAGCCGGGTGCAGGGGCGGGTCGCCGCGGGCCGGAGTGTAATTCCCACCGATAAGCGCGGATCCTTATCTCGAGCACACAAAGCGGCGGGGCGCGGGCTCGGCCTAGGCCGTCTGCACTGCTCGGTGGCGCGGCGAGGTGGCGGGGGGCCTCGTCGGGACCGTGGAGGGAGCCGTGGCCTCCGCGGCAGCCAGGCCTCCCCCGCCGCGCAGCTCGGCGCCCCGTCCTGTCCGGTCTCGCGCGGGGACCTGCTAGGCCTCCGCCCGTTCCCGGCTTCCGCCGCGCGTGCCCCTCCGCCCCGGGGCCCCTCACTCACCTCCCCGCCGTCCGGGCGCGCTCTCCTCACGCCGTCGCTGCGCCGTGCACGCGCCGTAACTTTATTAGCAGCTCGGCCGCGGGACAAGCGTACGGCGCCCGCTCGCCCGCCTGCCCGGGACCCGGATGACGGGGGGTGGGGGGGTGGACGGAGGGCCAAGGCGGCCGGCCGGCGCATGCGCGTCGGGAGTGGCCAAGGCCTGGCTTACCCTGTCGGTGCACGACCGGCCTGAGCGTGGCACTGGGCTCCAGGCGCTGCACCCACGGAACTGACCCGCCTTCTAACCAAACAGTTGTCCTCGCCGTGGACAACGGGGGACCGCTCTCGCCTATAGAAAGCGTTGAAAGGTGTCTTCAGCTACAACTTCGCCTCTTACGTTGACGTGCGATATAAATCCTAACTATCATACAGCTTGCTAGATGCAGCCAGACCGTGGCGCCCGAAGGAAAAATGCTCTGCAGAAGGAGACCGTGCTAACCCGGAGCTCAGGAGAGATCGTCCATTTCTCAGGATACAATCCCAGCTGTCTAAGGGACACCGCCCCACATCTGGAAGCAGGGAGTGTCTTGGGTGCAAGTGGAGGCGTGGAGGTGCACAGCCTGTCCACAGACTAACGCCGTAATAATCGGGCCGTCTGGCTCCTCTTTCCCTCCTAATTCCCCAAAGGGTCAGCATTCCCAGAAATATGATATCTGTACTAGGGCACCCGATTTGCACAGCAAGGGAAAGCTTTTAAATAATTCTGTGTCTATTTTTTAAAGTGTTCGAAACTGGTTGTGTTGTTTTCTTGCTAAATAAGTTGGAACTATTTTTAAATCTTCTCCAGTTAATCCCACCCTCCAATACCATTGGGTTCAAAATTCTGTAGACCCTAAATCTGACAACTTCTTGTCGCCTTAATGCCACCTCTGCGGCCTAAACCGGGGTCACCTCGCTTGATACACAAATGGGCCAGTTTCCGTGTTGTTCCAAGTTTCCGTGGCTTCTTTCCAACGCTGATGATGCTTGATCGAAGCAACCATCTCAAATGGTGAGAGAAGCGAACTGGGAGGGAGCTGGGTAACCAGAGAGCATCTATCCACTCCTGTACTAAGAAGAGTAGCTGTTGTTGGCTGTAGCCAGCCATCAGCAGGAAGAGGTATAGGAATAAGGACCCAGTATTGGCAGATCTTCTGGCTTCACAAAGAAGATTGGAAATTTATCTTTTTACACGAAAGGAAATTCTCACATTTATCCGCTCAGCCTCTTTGTCCCTTTCCACCCCCTCCCCTTCTCTTTGACATTGAGAAGACTCACGCCAGCACAAGCCAAACAAAACACACCCATGGTCCGGATTTAGCCTGCTGGCCCTCAGTTTGCAATCTCAGGTCTCCATCTTAAAGTTCTTTACTGCATCATAAACTGTGAAGGAGGACTCCATGTGCCTTGACTCTCTGTCATGCTTACTGGTTCTTTGTTGTTAAATACAATGTTTCCAGCCCTTGGAAGGCATGGATTCTGGAGCCTGGCATGGATTTACAACTCTCAGAAGTACCTATAACCGTAGCGAAAGAAATGCCCTTTATTCAGAATTGATGTTTGCAGAGGATCTTGTTGAATACTGTGTGTGTGCCAGCGACCCTTTTCCCTTCAAGCCACTAGTAAAAATCCTTCCACAAACAAACGTGTGCATATTTGTAAGGACAATTGGTGAGGCTTGGAGTCCTTTCCAGAGTCACACGAATAACCCTAAAACCAAACGTTTTACTTCCTCAATTGTGTATCTGCACAGTGATCCAATCAACCAGACTCTAGGCTCCCAGATGGTTTGGGGCACTCAGGCTAGGCCTTCAGTTGCGAGAGATAATAACACAGAACGGGGGAATGGAGAGATCAGCAGCCAAAAGAACTCTCCCAGAGAACAGAGACATGACCTAAGCTTCACAGGGTGTAGAAATCAGAGGGCCTACTAGCTATCCAAGTCATAAGGAACTCGAGCTTTGGGTAATCAGCTGACTCTAAGCACAAAAGGAGGACAGGCTGATCTGAACAGATATATGCTGTGGGACATCAGGATTTGTAAAAAAAAAAAAAAAAAAAAAACAATGGTTTTTGAGACTAGATGCTCACCTGATGGAGATCCCCTGACACTCGCCTCGGTGTTTGATTTTTCTTTACTGGGAGAGACATCTATTTCTGAATCACTAAGGCCTGCAGTTGCCAACCAGGAATGGCTGTTCCCTAGGAAATACCTAGCAGTTTGAAGACTTTCTCCATTGTCCCAGGCAGGGAGACCATGGGAACCCAGCAGGTAGAAGCCAGAGATGATATAAGCACCCTAAATGTCTAGAAGGCCCTTCTTCCACTGAGAACTACCCAGCCTGGGTGTTAAGGTGCAAAGGCAAGAAACCTCAACCCCAAATGGTTTGTATTTGATTAAGTTCATTTTAGGAAAAAAAACTGGGCCTTTTCTTTCCAATTCCTCTCAATAACCAATGAAGTCAGTCATTTGGTAAATGGAATTAGCCTCAAGGGCTTATTAATGTTCCAACCCACCTTCAATTTTTCCAGACCCAAGAAGTAAACAATTTTCAGGAAAATTGGGGAAACACATGGATCATATTTTCTAAAGTTTTATTTTAAAATATAAAATAATTAAGACAAGATGGTTTTAGTTGAAAATTATTAATAAATACTTGAAGCCCACAATTCTGCTGTAACTTAGAAGTGTGTCACTAAAAACACCTACCTATACACAAGTGTAACTAGAAGAACTAAGTGTTTGGAGGTGTCACGCAACAAAAACATTCCTGAGTGACACCATCAGAGGCGTCAATAGCCCCCAGAGACAACACCATCAAATGTATCTGTATCTCCATAGCCCCCAGAGACAACAGCATCAGATGTATCCATATCATCATATCTCCCAGAGACGACACCATCAAATGTATCCATATCTCCATAGCCCCCAGAGACAACATCATCAGAGGCATCTGTATCTTCATAGCCTCCAGAAATGTCTCCCTTCCTCAGACAGTTATGGAAAGTAGGCACCAGAGAAGAAATGTCCAAACTTATATGCATTCTCCAGACAGCATCCTTAGATAGAATAAAGCCTCCATTTCAAACTCTGAGAGTTCATTCTCTGCATGTTCTTCCACTGGCCAACTACCCCCAGGCTCTGTCCCTAGTACTAGAAAAAGTATAGGAAGCACAGCTAAACCAAACAGAGTTCCCAAACCAACGAGGCTCCAAAGAAATGGCACCTGAAGACACCCCACAGGCCAGAGGTGGGGAAGCAAACAGCAATACATAACATAGACGGTCAAAAGAAACTTTATGTTTCTTTTTAAGAGAAACCAGGCTGGAGAGGTGGTCCAGCTGACAAGAGCACAAACTGCTCTTCCAGAGGGCCTGAGTGAGATGCCAGAACCCATTGGGATGGTTCACAGCCACCTGTAACTGCCACTCTAGAGGAGCCAATAGCCTCTTATGGCCTCCGTGAGCAATTGCATTTACATGCACAAGCCCATGATAGATATGCAAATATACACATAATTAAATATAAAAATAAACCTTAAAGAAGTACAGAATAAACCAAAGGGCCACACCAACAGGAGATTACACTGAAATAATTTTTATAGAAAAATTGAAAGTATTTTCCAGTAAAATTCTAGTGTTCTTGTGTAGAAGACTTCTACATTCATCAGTAAGCCAGGCATAGCAGCATACACCCGGACTCCTAGCACTGTACAGGTTGAGATGGGAGGATTGTGAGTTCAAGGCCAGCCTGAACTGCATCATGTGCCCCTGTTTCAAAAATCAAAAAGAACCCATAGACAAATCTATTTTCATAACTTGGAAGGTGAAGCCATAACACACAGTAAGAGGAGGAGGAAGAAAAGAGAGGATAACAGCTGTGTCCACTCAAAGCCCAGGAAACTATCAACCACAGACTCTTTGAAGCTCCAGCAATGACAGCAGAGAATCCCCGAGCCCCTGTGATTATTGAGAACATTTTTTGTGTATACCTGTGTACAAATCTTCTGAAGAAAAAATCCATGGCTTTCACCAGACTCCCGAACGACTTCCTGACTTCCACATTCTTGCAGACACTCAAGACAGCGGCTGCTTTACACATGGTAAACAGCCAGTGTGTCTATGTTAAGTTACAGCTTCTTTCCTTTTTCACTTAGCATAGTTAGGAGACTCCTCTCTGGGGAAGGCGGCTTCATGTAGAATGTAAGAACCTGGCCTGCCTGTCTCCAGCCATCTGCTACATTAAAGAAGACTCTCCATGGCTGGAATCCAAAACACAAAATTAAAAGGGTTGCTTGCACCCAGAGTCGTAAAACAAAGAGGCTTTTGGGGCTTGGAGAGAAGGCTGCCTCTTCCTGCCTGGAGCAGCATCTGCTGTCTCCTGCTGGCGAACACTCCTCAGTTAACTCTGCTAACTCCCATGGTTCTGCTTTCTCGGCTTACATCCTCAGAGACCCCATCTCAGGAGTCAAACCGCATGTGTACCTCACTTCAAACCCAGAACAGCAGGTGAAAATCAGGAGTGGGACGAACTGAAGAGAGGGAGGAAGAAGATAAAAGACTCATGTCTCCAGGACGGCCTTTGACAGTGTGGAATGTTAACCGCAAGAGCCCTGAAGTCGGAATTCTTGATTTGAAAAATGGCCGTCTAACTTTTACCTGGGTGACCTTGACAAGATTTCTTAGCCAGTTGGGTCTTTTCACCTACAAAACAGGAGATAACAGGAGTAGTGAAGTAATACAATCATCCCGAAGATTAAACTCACGGAGCCTTCAAGGCACCCACAATGCCTGACACACAGCAAGTGCTACGCAGTGTTTGTTTTGAAAACACCCACTTCCTGCTGACATGCCAGATAATTCCAAAATATTCTCAGCAAATGCATTAGTTACATGAAATGTGTTCACCTTATAGATTAATAAATTGTCTTTTCCCTGTACTGTAGTAAGTAATTTTGTTCATTTGAGGGTCTCTGATACCATCTGTTACAAAGAATGCACAGACACACACACACACACACACACACACACGCGCGCGCGCGCGCACGAGGAAAGTGTGTATCATATACAAGCTAGGCAAGTGTTCTAGCAGCAAGTTATACAATTCCTAAACTGATGTGTCCATCTTGACTGACGGACTCCAGATCTGTAAACCACCTTCCCCTCCCAGCTTCCCTACGGCAGGGTAGTAGCTGCAGGGTTATTTTCTGCTTTCCTTCCTCCGGGTGCTCTTTCTCCTTCCTCCTTCATGACAAATTGCCTTCCTACTTTGACCACAGTGGGCATTGCCGATCTGAGAGGTGGGGTACCTGACCTCTTAGTACCCTAGCAATCTAGGTCATTGTGATTCGCTCACCATTGGACAGTAAACTAAGGGACACATACCATCACTTAGGTCCATGAGAGATGTCTGGATGTTGATAGAAAAAAGTCCCCCCTCTGACTGTGAATGCTAGTTCTGGGACTAGCAGGGACCTTCTTGACACCATCTGGAGGACGTCTGTTTGGAAACAAAGCCAACAGAGAGACTCAGAGCTGAGAACAAAACGCTGCAGCAACTCCTCGCCAGATTCTTCTGAGTTTCTGGATCCAGCTTCACTTGAGGTGTCTCAAGATCCTCCTGAGACTTTCCAACTACTTCAGTCACTCCAGTCTGCTCCTGTGTGTGTGCGCACGCGCGCACATATACACACATACGTGTGCATGAGGACCATTCTGGGAAGTTAGTTCTTGCCTTCCACCCTTGATTTGAGGCAGGGTCTCTGGTTTGTTGTTGATGTCCTGCTCTGTGTAGTCTGGGTCTCTGAGGTCAGGTCATCAGCTTTGGGCAGCACGCCCTTTGACCTCCAGAGCCTTCTCCCCAGTCCCCTGCAGTTGGCTTTTGTTTCAGTTAGTTACGCTTCAGTTAGTTACCATGGCAATCTCACTGAACCTGTTAGGTGCAGATCTGACCTCCTAATATTTGACCTCCTGCCTCCCTCCACTGCCTAGTCCCACTCCAGTCTTCCTCTCTCAGGAGATGGCAGTTACATCAGACAATCAATCACTCAAGTGATATCTACATGACTGACATACATGTCTTCTCTCTGTGTGTGCTGTGGATGCCTGTGGCATCTTTCACTAGTGATGATGGGATTTGTTTCCCGGACTCTTTGGAGTCAAATTTGCCAGGATGACTTTTGGCAGGGAACGTGATATAATACAGTTGGTCAATGTGTTTGATGCTTCTAAGTGGTCATTTGTTACCCATCTTTAGATCAGTCCCAGAGCCAGGCATCATGACACTCACTTGGAATTCCAAAACTCAGGAGGCAAAAGCAGGTATGTCTTAAGTTTGAGGCCAGGCTGGGCCCCAGGGTGAGGCCCGTCTTCAAACAAAACAGAGCGGAACCAATATCAGCAGCTCCACAGCTGCTCAAGCAGATTCAGACCCATGTGTGAGAAAACACAATGTCTTGTTCCTCGACACAGAGACTGGGGTGCTCTTGGTTGTTTCTTTACTCTTTTGGTTTTTGGGGGGGGGCTACCACCCAGCTTCCAAATAAATCATACATGGAGGCTTATTGTTAATTATAAATGCCTGGTCTTAGCTTGGCTTATTTCTAGCCAGTTTTTCTTAACTTAAATTAACCCGTCTACCTTTTGCCTCTGGGTTTTTTCCTTTCCTTACTTCTGTGTATCCTACTTTCACTGTTGCTCCGAAGCTGGCTGGGTAGCCGGCCCCTAGTCCTCCTCTCTTTGTTCTCCTGCTCCTTGATCTCTCTTTCTCCTTCTATTTATTCTCTCTTCCTGCCAGCCCTGCCTATCCCTTTCCTCCTGACTATCGGCTGTTCGGCTCTTTATTAGACCAATCAGGTGTTTTAGGCAGGCAAAGTAACACAGCCTCACAGAGTTAAACAAATGCAACATAAAAG